TCACTCTCCCCCTTGGCCATCAGCTGCAGGAGGCTCTCGCTGGGCTGGGAGGCTTGAGGTTTCTTCTGTACTAACTGGATAGGAGGGGGAAAAAAGCAAAACCAGATGGTTAAGACCCTAGAGTCTCTGTATTTTCCTAATATCATGATCCAAACCCTAAAGTGTTAGAACTCAAACTGTTCCATTGGGTGGCCATGCCAGGGGTTCAGAGAGGCAATTCTGAGGCCATATCTGCTTATACCCCCTGGATTGTTATAAATATCCTTTGGGCACCAATTCAATTGTCATTGAATACTTTATTTTATTTTATTTTTTAAAATGTATATATTTACTGATTTCAGAGTGGAAGGGAGAAGGAGAGAGAGAGAAACATCCATGATGAGAGAGAATCATTGATCAGCTGCCTCCTGCACGCCCCCCACTGGGGATCAAGCCCGCAACCCAGGCATGTGCCCTTGGCCGGAATCGAACCTGGGATCCTTCAGTCCACAGGCTGAGGCTCTATCCACTGAGCCAAGCCGGCTAGGGCTGTCATTGAATACTTTAGACATAATTTAGTACATAACCTATTCTCATTAATATACCTTAATGTTATCAATAGCCTATTCAGATGCTATTGGTTTTTATATTTAAATGTAGGGGAATAAAATATTTATTGTAGGAGTTTAATGAATGTTTTAAAAATTGACTTCTCTAAGAAAAGTTGGATATTGAGCTGCTTTTTACACCTGACGTAAATTGCCTTCTTTCCTGTTGCCTGCGATACCCCGAAGTGTTCCAGAAGTACAAGCTGCTCATAGTCATCCATTCATTCTTTACTGAGTGCCAACTATGTGCCAGGCACTGGGGATAGAGCCGTGAAGAAGACAGATAAAAACCCCTGCATTCATGGAGCTCCTGTTGTAGCTCAAGTCAGTCTTACATCACACTCTAAGGCCTGGGGCAAAAAGGCCCTTGTAGCTTCACTGGTGAATTTTATTAAATACTCAAAGGAGTAATAGTACCAAGTCTTCATAAGCTCTGAAAATAGAGGAGGAGGACACACTTCCCAACTCATTCAGTGAGGCTAGTATTATCCTAATACCAAAGCCAGGATATCACAAGAAAACTACAGACCAACATTTCTAATGAACATAGATGCAAAATCCTTAACTAAATGCTAGCAAACCGAATTATGGAATATATAAAAGGGAATATACATACACACCACGACTAAGTGAAATTTACTGCAGGAACACAAAGTTGATTTAACATTTAAAAATCAATGAATATAATACACTATTCTAATAGAATAAAGGGAAAACCACATGACCATCTCAATAGATGCAGAAAAAGACATTTGAAAAAATGTAATACCCATTTATGATAAAAACTCTCAATAAACAAGGAATAAAAGGGAATTCCCTCAACCTGATAAAGGGCATCTACAAAGATCCCACAGTTAGCATCATACTTAATGAAAGACTGACTGTTTCCCCCCTAGGATTGGGCATAAGCATGTCTGCTTTTGTCATTTCTACTAAACACTGTACTGAAAGTTTTAGCTAAGGCAATAAGCAATAAATGAACAAATGTGAATGAATTGGAAATGAAGTAAAATTGTCTTTTATTTGCAGATGACATGTGTATATATATACATATATATATATATATATGTATATATATATGTAGAAAATCACAAGGAACCACAAAATACTATGTTTAATAACAAGATTAATATAAAAAATCAATTCCATATACTATCAATGAATGATGCAAACATAAAATTAATAAAACACAATTCCATTTAAAATAGTAGCCACAAAATAAAAAGATAGGAATAAATTTAACAAAAGAAGTGCAGAACTTGTATACTAAAAGTTAAAAAAAACATTGCTAAGAGAAATGAAAGAAGATTGAAATAAATGGAAAGACATTCCATCCTATATAATAAAAGCCTAATATGCAAATCGACTGAACAGCAGAATGACCAGCAGAAAGACCAGTCGCTATGATGCACACTGACCACCAGGGGGCAGATGCTCAATGTAGGAGCTGCCCCCAGCCTGCAGGCCCCAGGCCAGCCAAGACGGGTGCCAGTGGGGGCCCCCCAATCGCCCTGCCAGTCACCCCACAGATGGGCCCTGATTGCTGGTCAGGCCTAGGGACCCTACCCATGCACAAATTTCGTGCACTGGCCCTCCAGTATTCATATATTTGAAGACTCAATATTGTCAAGATTGCAATTCTCTTCTAATTAATGTATAAAATCAACATGTCTTTGTCAAAATCCCAGCGATCTATTTTGTAGAAATTGATAGGCTAATCCTAAAATTTATATGGAAATACAAAGGATTTAGAATAGCCAAAATAATTTGAAAAAGAACAAAATTGGAAGACTTACAACAGCCAATTTTAAACTTACTATAAAGCTACATTAATCAAGACATTGTGGTATTGACACAAGACTAGGCATACAGATTAATTAAACAGGATTGAGAATCCAGAAATAAATCCTTACATTTACTTTTAATTGATTTTTGACAAAAGTGCACGATAATTTAATGGAGGAAAGGATAATTTTTTCAACAAATGGTGCTGGGTAAATTGTACATCCACATGTGACAACACAAATACTTAGACCTTTTTCCACACCATACACAAATAGTAATGCATAAGGGATCATAGACTTAACTGTAAGAGCTAAATCTATAAACTTTTAGAAGAAAACCTAGGATAAAATATTTGTGACTTTGGGTTGAAAAAAAAGTCTTAGCTACAACACCAAAAGCCTGATCTATAAAAGAAAAAAATTGATAAATTGCACTTCATCAAAATTAAAAACTTTTATGCGCTGGGGGTGGGAATGGCTGGGGAGAGGTCAATGGGGGGAAAAGGAGACACATGTAATACTTTAAACAATAAAGAATTAAAAAAAAAACTTTTGCTCCACAAAGGCCGCCATTAAGAAAATAAAAAGATGCCCTAGTCGCTTTGCTCAGTGGATAGAGCATTGGCCTGTGGACTGAAGGGTCCTGGGTTCGATTCCAGTCAAGCGCACGTACCTCAGCTGTAGGCTCCTCCCAGCCCGGGCCCTGGTCAGGGCACATGCAGAAGGCAACCAACAGATGTGTTTTTCTCACATCGTTATTTCTATCTTTCCCTATCTCTTCCACTCTCTCTAAAATCAATGGAAAAATATCTTGAGTGAGGATTTTTTTTTTTAAAAAAAGGAAAATAAAAAGACAATTCACACACTGGGAGAAAATATTTGCAAATCATATATCTAATAGAGGACTTATATTCAGAATATACAAAAAATTATAGCAATTCAAGAAGACAAAACTCAATTTAAAAATGTTTTTTTCAACAAAAGACTTGAATAAACATTTCACCAAAGAAGACTCGAGCTCCTCCTCCGCCATCGCGGTGTGTTCAGTTGATTCTCCTTCGCCATGTCTTCTCACAAGACTCTCAGGATCGAGAGGTTCCTGGCCAAGAAACAAGCAGAATCAGCCCATTTCCCAATGGGTTTGGATGAAAACTGGTAATAAAATCAGGTACAACTCCAAGAGGAGACATTGGAGAAAAACCAAACTGGGCCTATAAGGAATCGCACATGAGAGATGGCTCCCATGTTTATGTGGCATCCAGGTTACCTGCATCTTTAAATGACTGAAAAGACCACTACTGTCTGGACAGTTGGACATTTTAATTGGGAAATTATTGGAACAATGATATTTCTCTGTTGATTTTTTTCTTCAGTAGTAGGTTGGTGCAGTAATAAATGAGACTTTAAAAAAAGACTTGAATAGACATTTCACCAAAGATATATAAGTAACTAATAAACCCGTGAAAAATTACTCAACATCATTAGCCATTGAGGAAATCAAAGGTGAAACCATTACATATCCGTAGAATGGCTTTAACAAAAAAGACAGACAAAATACTATAGTGTTGGTGAAACCCTCATGCATTGCTGGTAGGAATATAAAATGGTACAGCCACTCTGGAAAAACAGTTTGCCAATTACTTTAAAATTTAAAGGTAAAGTTAACATATGACCCAGAAATTTCATCCCTTGGCGTACTCATAACAAATGAAAACTGTGTCTATAGAGAAACTTGTACATAAGTGTTCATAGTAGCATTATTCATAACAGCCTCAAACTGGAAACAATCCAAACGCCCATTAACGGTGAATGGATAAACAAAATGCGGCAAATCTATACAATGGAATACCATTCAGCAACGGAAAAGAATGAATTAGTTCTGGCTGGTGTGGCTCAGTTGGTTGGAGTGTCGTCTTATACAACAAAAAGTGGCGGGTTTGATTCCCGGCTGAGATAGCATGCAACAAATTGATGTCTCTCACATCGATGCTCTCTCTCTCTTTCTCCCTCGCCCTCCCTTCTTCCCTTCCTCTCTCAAAGATCAATTTTTTAAAAAAAGAATGAATTACTGATCATCTATGACTCTGATATGGATGAACCTGAAAAAATTATGCTGAGTGAAAGAAGCCAGACACAAAAGACTGTTGTAGGATTTTGTTTATATGAAATGTCTAACAAATATGAATTTATAGAGACTGAAAACAGATCAATGGCTGCCTGGGGCAGGAAATAGGAACAGAGAGTGACTTTAAATGGGCACAAGGGAATTTTTTATGGTGATGGAAATGTTCTAAAACTGGGTTGTGGTGATGGGCGCACAATCCTATACATTTATTGGAAGCGTTGAACTGTACACTTACAATGGGAGAATCTTACAGGTGGTTGTACACTATACAATTAAAGGCAGGGATTGCCTTCACAGGGTGCTTACTCACATGCCAGCTCACCTCAGCTCTACCCCTCAGCTCTGGCCTTGGCTGGGGGTGGCAATGGTGCCCACTGACCTTAGAGTCTCCTGAGACGCTGCAGCTGCTCTTGGGCACCAGGCAGTGAGTGATAAGAATCCTAGGGTCTTTGGTGGTGATGGACAGGCCCTTCTGCAGAATCTGAACTAGTCGGATCCAGAAGTGGAAGACAGTCTCAGGATGGTCAGAGTGGAGTCTTAGATAGTAGATCTTCTCTGTGACCGTCCTCAACCGCAGGATGCGTTGGAGCTGGTCACAGACTTGGAGCTCCACGAACTTCAATGGGAGAATCCTGAAGGCATGAAGGAAGACACACATTGACAACCTCATTGCTTCTGATCCAACTCTATCTTCATTAAAATGAGGATTGTCACGGGGCCAGTGTAGCTCAGTGGTTGAGCATCAACCGATGAACCAGGAGGTCACAGTTTGATTCCTGGTTGGGGCACGTGCCCGGTTTGTGGACTTGATCCCCAATGGGGAGGGAGCATGAAGGAGGCAGCCGATCAATGATTCTCTCTCATCATTAATGTTTCCACCTCTCTCTTCCTCTCTGAAATAAACAAACAATACATTTTTTAAAAAATGAGGAGTATCTCCTTCAGGACTCAGGCTTTTGGGGGTGGGAATAGGGCTCAAACTTTGGAGAGGTCATGTTCACCTGGAGAGCTTGTTTAAAATGCAGACATCTGAAGACACCCCTCAGATTCAGTAGGTCTGAGGTGTGTCCTTGAATCTGCATTTTAACCTCCAGCCATCCTGCCATGATTTTCATGCTGGTGCCCCAGGATCCTGCTTGAGACAGACAGCCCAGGAGTAGCTGGGGTCACAGGGTTTTCCATTTCCTTCTTGATAGCATCAAGGGAGCTACTCTGCTCTGCCACAAAGTTGGCCTCACTGTCCAGTCATTGGCCCTATTGCCTCAATCACTCTTCCCAAAGGGGCTAAGGTTCAGGGAGCTGGCTTTGGGTTGAATAGTGGTCAGCTGGGCCTGGGCTGTGCTTGCTGTAGGTACTCCAAAACATAATGGAGATGTTTATCACTCAGGCAATATGGAGAAATGAAGAGTTTATCTGGATTTCTGAGAATATCTAGAGATTCTTTTGTTGTTGTTGTTAATCCTCACTTGAGGATATTTTTTCTTCGATTTTCAGAGAGAGTGGAAGAGAGAGGGAAAGACAGAGAGAAATATTGATGTGAGAGAAACACATTGATTGCTTACCTCCTGCACGCACCCCAACCAGGGCCCAGGCTGGGAAGGAGCCTGCAATCGAGGTACGTGCCCTTGACTGGAATTAAACCCAGGACCCTTTGGTCCACAGGTCGATGCTCCATCCACTGAGCCAAACTGGCTAGGGCTAGAGATTCTTGAATAGCCTATAGATTACTTGAAGAGGCTCAAACATTAAAAAGGGCTGTTTCTGCCCAGCCGGTGTGGCTCAGTGGTTGAGCATCGACCCATGAACCAGGAGGTCACGATTCGATTCTTGCTCAGGGCACATGCCCGGTTGCTGGCTCGATCCCCGATGTGGGGCCTGCAAGAGGCAGCTGATCAATGATCCTCTCTTATCATTGTTGTTTCTCCCTCTCCCTTCCTCTCTCTGAAATCAATAAAAATATATATTTTAAAAAGGGCTGTTTCATCCTAGACAAGCATGATGTGAGTATATATTACAGTTCTCATGACACTTAGCTCCACTCATTTTACTGGTAGGAAAACTAAGATGCATCAAGTAACTTATGACTCAAACAGTGTATGAGTCTCTTTAATTGCGTGCCAAGGACTAGAACCTGCGGCTCCCAGCCTGTGCTCCATCTGCCGGGTCTCACTGCTTTCTTGCCCCTTGGCAGAGAGATTTCCTAAGAATTCAGTGGGGTGAGTGCAGTGAGAAGGAAAGGGAGCATGTAGATTGGCCCCTCATTCCTGTCCACACAATGCCTCCCTTGACCCCATCTGACCATGGTGCTTGCAGTGCGCCCCCTGTCTTAGGTTACCGTTGCCTGAAAAATTAACGTCGCTGCTGCTGACCCCTCTGCTTCCCCCCACCTGGAGTTTAGTCTCAGAGCAGCCTTTGCTCTGGGTCCACCCCCTCCCCCCGCTTGTCCTTCATTCCCAAGGGTGTCGCTCACCTCTTCAGGATGATGTTTGGCGCTGGCGACGGTCTGTTCCACGTCTGGCTCTGCCCCCGGTGCCATTTGACGCGGGCCATGAGGAGGATGTTGGGAAGGGGCAGGCAGGGCACGGAGGAGGTCACCCCGAGGGCCATGGTGTAGGAGGCTTTGTAGATGTTGATCCAGTTCCTGTCCTTTTTGACCTGCAAAGCAGCCCCATGGGCACAGCCTGAGATTTGGCAGAAGGAGCAACACATCTCAGCTGAGAGTTTCTCAACTTCGGCAATATTCGCATTGCGGGCAGGGTAATGCTTTGTTTGGGGGAGGGGCTGCCCTGTGTACTGCAGGGTGTTTAGCAGCATCCTCGGCCTCCACTTACTAGATGCCAGTAGCACAGCCCCCCACTCCGCCCAAGTAGTGACAACCAAAAATGTCTCCAGATGCAGCCAAATGTGCCCTGGTTTTAGAAGGCAGATCATCGCTAGGGGGGAACCACTGTTTTAAACCTATATTGGAGAAACAACTGTAATCGTATTGACACTACCTACTGTTAGCATCTGCCCACGAGAACTATCACCCAGGAGTTCCCTGGCGTGTGGCACATTTCTGTGGACCCTCCCTAGACTGTTTCCTGGCTTTTCTTTGAAAAACGTCCTTTGGCCCTTCTTTGAGGGGCCCCGTAGCCTCCTGCACCTTCCCTGCTCTGTAAGGTCCCTCGTAATTCCCAGGCGCTGAGAAGAGAGCCCAGGCCGGAAACAAAAGTGCACCGAGAGCCCCTTGTACCGAGGCCTTTGCCTCCTGCGTGTGCATATAAGCCTCATGTCAGTCGACCCCTTTTACATTAGAGGACCCTGGGACTCAGGGTTGCAGGTCGCTTGCACAGTGATGCCTCCTGGACTGCACTCTGAGCCCAGGTCTCTCTGGGGCCCAGCTTTTGTTCTGTCATCAATCAGCATTTCTGTTCCACACCCTCAAGGGGCATCTTGTTTCACTGCCTCTCTGATCGTCTGTTTTGGGCTTCCTGGGGGAGGAAATAAACTGGGGGATTCAGATACCAAATCCTCCACTCAGCGCAGAGAACACCTGGCCTCTCTCCCCGGGGATGACAACTGACGGCAGGAGAAGCCCTGTCTGGGGCTCTGCAAAGTCAGGGTCAAGTGGGGGTGGCCTTGTATTCCAGGCCCACTGACCGCTCCTTGCCCCAGCGCTCGCTCCACTCCAGTTTCAGGAACAGACTCTCCTGGCCAGCTCTTGGGAACAGGTTTAGGAGGACCGAGGAGTGCCCGCTGAGTGCCTCCGGAGTACCTGGACAAAGTTGCTTTCAAACACCACGGAGTCAGGAAACAGGTTGAATTCTGGAGAGTGAACCATCTGGCAGAGCAGTCCCTCCTCCACACCCAGGCCCACTCCGGGGGTTGGTTCTCCATCCACAGGCAAGAGGCCCCTGAATTCTTCCCAGGCATTCAGGGAAGAGAAAGTTGGATAGGATCTTGTGACTTTTACTGCTTTCGATTTCCACCAAGTCTTTCTAGGTGGAGCTGATGACAACATTTCCGCACATGCTCAGGGGCTTGCTGCACATTTGTCCTGGGACCTCTCTCTGCCCTTATGGCCTTGGGCAGCAGGCCAAGGCCTGGGACCGCCAATCAGCTCACAATGATGAATGGATGACATCATGAAAAACCAGGGCAAGCCTGCAGGAAAGGGAAATGCGGAGGAGCCGCCCTCTTCCTCCAGAGTGCTTTGCTGGCTGTTTATGCCCTGACATTCTCCAGCCCTTCTTGGAACCCGAGGACCCCCAGAGCTTGCTGAGAAGGGAGTGAGCCAGGCAGAAGTGAGGGAGGTAGTGAGCTGAGAAGGAAGTGAGGGAGGTAGTGAGCTGAGAAGGAAGTGAGCCAGGCAGAAGTGAGGGAGGTAGTGAGCTGAGAAGGAAGTGAGGGAGGTAGTGAGCTGAGAAGGAAGTGAGCCAAGCGGAAGTTGGGAAGCTCCTTCCACTGCTCAGAGGAAAATACCTTCCGTGCCTTTCAACCCTCCCGTACTCTTAATGCAACCCACCTGCCAAAGAGTTTTAAGGGCCGTTTCTGTAAAACCCAGCCTTCCCATGCTTTACATGATGTGGGCCCCACACGCCCTGGTGTATCTGCAGTAGCCTTTTCTGGTTATGGAGGGAGGAGTTGGTGCCTCTCTGTGCTCTGCTATGGCTGGCTGGTTACTTCTGCAGGCCCAGGTCCCTTAGGAGGTCAAACTGAAGGAGCAGTAGAAGTCATTAGTTTCTTACCCAGAGGCTGGCTTTGTGAGGGTGCCAGCTGGGAGGAATAGAACCCCGATGAGCAGCTCTGCGGGATCAACAAGCCATTCCCCCTCTCAGAGTGACAGTGTTCCTCAGTCCTGGGCCAGAGGAAGAAAAAGCCCAAGTCCTGGGGTGGCTAGATCAGGGGCAAAGAACCAAGCTGACTGACCACTATTCAAGTCCATCTCAGGGAGAAATCCTACTCTAATTTGGACAAAATATCAGGATGTATTAAGTAATGGATTGACCATAGAGGTCAAATGTGATAAATTCAGAAAAGCAATTTGACAACCAATAGATGCAATGTACAAGCTTTAAGATTTATTTTGTATTTCATTATTAAGTCATCTGATTCTATCAGCCCCTCACTTGGTTGTTTCTATTTTTAAAATATGTTTTTATTGATTTCAGAGAGGAAGGGAGAGGAAGAGAGAGATAGAAACATCAATGACAAGAGAGAATCATTGATCGGCTGCCTCCTGCACACCCCCTACTGGGGATTGAGCCCACAACCCAGGCATGTGCCCTTGACCAGAATCGAACCCGGGAGCCTTCAGTCCGCAGGCGACGCTTATATTCACTGAGCCAAACGGGCAGGGGCGGTCATTTCTATTGTGCTCCCGCTCAAGCCCCTGTACTAGCTCCCTGGTGGGTAAAGCAACTTCTGCACTCGTTCCTCATTTCCTTTTGTTGACCATGTGGGGAAATGTCCTCCATGGTAACGTTCTCTAAGGATGAGGCAGAGACTACGTCCTGTGGTTTATATTTCCCTAGAAAGACACAGTACAAAAAGTGATGGCAATTAATACATTGATATGATGCTTTTCACAGTTAAAGCTTACCCACAACAGGAAAGCTTATTGGCGTAGATATGTGATATAGATATATTTGGCCATTGAACATTCAAAAGTCCTCTTCCATTGGAAAATGTCTCTCTCCCTTTTCCATATAATCCTATCGAACCCACTTTGCAGTGTGTGGAGGAAGGCTTTATTTAG